AAGTAAATTACAATTATGTCAAAAATAATACTGAGTAATAGCACTTAGTTTATTCCCCAACAAAAATCATGTCGGCTGCATTTGGCTGATGGGGTTTGAACGACATGCTGCTGCCAGACTGTAAATACTACCATGTACTACAGCAATACTGAGGCCACAGTGAGGACACACTGGTCACAGAGCGGCGTAGCGGCTGCAGTTGAACCCACCAGATGATTAGAGAGGGGGGGGGGGGGGCGTGTCGCATGTGTGATGGAGGGAGATTCGCTGCTGCAGGCGTGGGCAGCTGAGCTTGAGCTGCAGACGGAAACTCGCTCTGAGTGTCGTCTCCGGCTGCTCCGACGGCTCGGCACGCCACAGCACATCAGCATCATCTAAGAGATCTGCTGCACATGTCCATCCTAAAATGACTGCATGGATTTACATGTGTGTGCACTGTGTGTTAAGGCTGATGTTCTGCCGTAATTGACCCCTCCTTTTACTTGTCTTACTCTATGCATTATGTATGTGCTAAAATAAATGTTCTGCATGCATAGCCACTAGTGTTGTTTTTATGGTTATGCCTCGCAAGTAATTGTCCAGCAGTCAAGCTTCTGCTCAGTTGAAATGAAACAAGCATTAGCATTTAGCCTGTGTGACTGGAATGGAGAGCATACAAAGCAGATCTATGTTGTTTTACATTGTCTTTCTTTGTCACGTAACACTGGAGTCAGTGGCCATGACTTGTGAAACAAGGTTAGATATTTTGACACAATTGTTTCCTGGTTATGAATTAAAAATGAATACAGTATAATTGCTGCATTTATTGCCAGTTGTTGTTGTTAAAGTTAGGCCCCTGGCAGTAGCAGCTACATTAAACATTTTCAGCATCTCGCATCCTGTAGTAAGACAGAACGAAAAATAAAGAAGAGCTAAACATGTGGCGGAGCAAAACTTTGTGTTGTTTTCTAACAGTGGCAGTGTTCACTGTTTGCTTTGTCAGCACCTTTTTAAAGCTTCACAGACGGCAGCTGCCTCGGGCGAGACGACATTCCAGGTAGACGTCTGATAAGTAGGCTGGAAAACAAGTGCTTCAGGCACCAAGACAAAACACTTTAGCAGATCAATCCTATCATTTACAATAGTAGTTGGACTTTGTTTAATGTTCTATACTATTGTATTGAGGATTAGAAAATGTTTCTGTAAATATTAGACCCTATCTACATCGAGAATTAAAAAAATACAGAAAGGGTGAGTTAGTTTGACTACAGAGGAAAATAAAATTGCCTTATTAGTTGGTCTTTAATGCTTTTTGCAAACACTGGAGCAAAGCCTGCAAGCTAGTTCAGGTAGAGAATGTGTTTTGCTGAAAAGGACAACACTTATCTCTCAATAACGATTGTGTAAAGTATTCTTTTCAGCACCTTGTCTAAATGTATCTGGACTTCTGTGCCCATCTCTTAACCTCAGTGACTTACTGACCTCTTCTCCTCCTTTACCTAAAACATCCAACCTGATTGTAAGTGTACTTGTCTACAAACCTGAACAGCTCAACATGTTAAGAATAATTTAATCACATTGTACAACAGAAGTGTGTGCAACAACATGTGCTGAAAGTCCCATTTTGCTTATGAAGAGACGGTAGAAGTTAGAAGTGTGGATGAGTTTAGAAGACGAATCTTGCATCTTAAGGAAAGAAGCTTAGCATCAACACTGCTACATGTTGAATATTAACAGTTTTTAGGGCCTGTGTGCTGAGCATCTTTCTGCTGAAGGACAACCCGCGCTGTGAATTCAGTACGAGCCATCCTCGGTGTGGAACCGCTGATCAAAATCTCATTTTAGAAATCACTCTGTTGGTGCGTGCACCACTTCTGCTCCCCTGTTATTTTTAGCCCCGGCATTCGCTTTCTTTTTTTTTTCCACTTCCATTGTGTTCCAGGACGATAAATCAAACAGTGTTGCATTTTTGAGGGAAGCCCAAAGCAGCAGCATTTTATATTAACCGTAAAACCCCCTCTTATTTACGGCAGTTTCCCCTCATGCTTTATGTGCGGTCCGGAGCCTGTAAGCTGTCACTATGTATTTACATGAATTCAACCAAGACAAATTTCCTCCATTTTACTCCATGATGAAAGTGGTTTCTGGTCTGCTTCCGAGCATTAGAGCATGGTACTCTCAAATGCTTGCACTCAATACAGTGGATGATGCAATCTCTGCTACTATATGGGCAGTATACTGTAGAAAAAACACTTAAGACCTTTGCTTAAGTAAACAGACTAATACTGTGATGGAAAACTACTATTGCAAGTAAAAAGTCCTGCAGTCACACTTCTGCTTCAGTGAAATCAAACAAGCTCTTAGCATTCAGCCTGTGTGACTTTTAAAATGAAAAATAGACACAAATGAAAAGTTGCCTTTCAGAAGCAAAAATGTACTAGTCGCTAATGTTTGGTACCTTTTTAGCTAGCGGATGCTGGACCTACTTCAGTGTTCATTTTTCTTTTTGTATTGATTAAGCATTTACCAGATCAATATTTCCGGTTAAACAAGTTAGTTTGACACTTTTATTTCCTGAATGAATATTCATTATTAAAATACTCATGATTTCTATATTAAAACACAAAATAAGTAGTAATAATAATAATAATAATAATAATAATAATAATAACTAATAATAATAATAAGTAATGTCGTTTTATAAGTTGTTGCTTTACGTGACTTTTAGGCTGCGCTTATGTTTCCTGGATCATCTTAACTAGAAAATGATGATAGACACAGTAGAACGTGAGTCATCCAAACAGTTGAGACTTTTTGGTCCTTCTTCTCGTTAGCTTGCATATTTAGATTTTATAATTTCACAATGATTCCAATAAAGTGATCAGAATACCTTTATTAGTCCCCACAGAGAGGACATTTTCGTTGTTACAGCAGAGAAAGAGCCAAAGACAGCTTTAATGTTACATGCATACAAAGTATTAATAGTAAAAATAAAACAACAACACAGACTATAACACCCCTTGCTGTTAAATACCAATCATACTATGTGCAATATGTGCTATTTGTGCAATATATACATATGCCGTTAATAACTTGCAATATATACCTGGCTGCTAAATCCTAAGAAACTGTTACAGGATGTATATTTTGTAAATTGTTTAACTGTTTATTTTATTATATAACAACTTTTTTTTTTTTAACTTTAATACTTTTTATATGCATGTAACATATTATGTAACATATGAAACATTAAGCTGTCTTTGGCTCTTTCTCTGGGAACAACGTACATTTCCCCTCTGGGGACTAATAAAGGTAACCTAAAGGTGGGAACTAAGTACGGCAAGTACTTGGTGTGAAAAGGGGCTAATGCTTTCAAATGCCAACAATACAACTGTACAATATATAATGAGAGCAGGCATTATACTGCAGCCAATTTCAACCCAAGAAAATGATCAGTGATTCAGAGGCAAGTTTAGGTATTAGCATATAGAAAATCACATGAATGAATCCGCACTTCAAGTGTAGATGTTTTTTTTTTACACAAAAGCAAGTTAAAGCAGTTGCCCTGGAGGGAAAGTCAAGTGATTAGGACTCAGAATAAAATGTGAATTAAGTACGCTTTGTATGAATCCTATACGAGTCCAGTGTTGTTTGGCTTCTTTTCACACAGAGGAATGAACGGATGAATAAAAGAGTGGAGGAAGGGGGGGTGTACAGACGGCTGGAGGCCTGTGGGTTTTAAAAGCTATTTCAAAGTCACTTTTATTTGTAATGTGTCCCCTTCAAAGGTCGATCCCGTATCAGTGACTACTGTATGCGCTGTGCCTCTGCTGTGCCGCTCTCTGCCCTTTCAAACATTTTTATTTTAGAGCCGTGTCAGCAGGAGCACCCGTAATCTGTGTTTGCTTTCATTCAGCATCGGGCCTGAATTATTTAGAAAGAGTGCATGCTCAGAAGTAAAGGTTTTAATATCATAATCAAAGCTAGCTCTAACAGTTTGGACCAAAACAGGAATGGACATTTAAAAAACAGTATCATAAAATACTTATCGACCACTAGAACAGAAGTTTAATCACTTTATTAATAACTGGCATTTAGTTGAAAAATAACAAAGTAGACATTTTAAGTTAAAGCAAAAAAAGTGATGTATTTTCACAATATGATTAGATTTAACCTTATTTAGTTAGTGTTAACCAAAAGGGCAAAAGACGGGGCAGTTAAAGCACAGTGTTATTTCTATGTATAGTATAATATGACGGATATGAAAACTATATACAGTAAAAACTGTTCTAACTAAGTATAATCACTATTAGCACTAGTATAAAATATTAAATGCACCTTGGAAGTACAGTAGCAGAAATATACAGTAGACACTATACAGTAGTATAAATCTAAATACACTATAGACCACACTTTGGATATGACATATTTAAAATATGTCCAATATCAATTCTAGTATTGAAAGCATGTATGTACATGTACATTCATAACCCTTTGAAAGAGCTAATGAGTCCAAGTTTATCTTGCGATTATCTCCCAGACCATCCTGACTCAACCACTAAACATAACTTTTTTAAACTTTAAAATTTACCCTGAGGAAGTAGTTTCCCCCCTAAGCTTAATTTGTATGCTAAATGTATAATTCTTGTTGTATCGATCCCTGAAGGGAAATTCTCCTTCATCTCCCGCCTACACGCGAAGGTCAAGCAAATCTGAAGGCTCTAGAGTAGAAACCCTGCAGCTGCTGGACATTCAGATGCATTTGAAGATGATTCCTGAAAAAACCAAGGCAGGGCTAGTGGTGCGATCACATTGCGCCGGGTTAGATCTGAACTCCCACTTGGGAATAACAAGTACAAAGGGAAGCTGGGGAATATTTTGTAGCTCCAGTAAGTTCCCATTGGAGTCATTAACTTAATCACAACACTGACTGAGTGCTAATTGTGTTTGTGTGCATTTACAAAGCCAGCTATGTTGTGATGCATGTTATCTAATATGTGTTTAATGTCTCCTCTCTGCAGGATGGACCAAGTTTGCCGCGGCTTGACTCGGGCGCTCACCAACAATCGCAACACGCTTGCCGAAGCCTCCGCCCATAGACCATCATGAAGTCAGCCACAAACCGTCCAGACTGGCGGAGGTGAGGCACTCACTTACTTACTGCCATACCCCTCAAAGTGTACACTATACTAAGGTTTTGTTGTTTTTGGCTGTCTTGAAGCAGTTTGCAAGAAATATCAATGTACTGTAACCAATAGAAACCAATTTTATAATCATGCCAACTTGCCAGTTCTCTCTCTCAAGTGAGACTGGAAGGGTGCTATCATGCTTTTTGGGGTTTTCCCTTTCCTCTAGTGCAGGTGTGCTCAATACGTCGATCGGTAGTGTGGGGTAGATCGCATGGCATTGAAAAATATTTGTTTCAAGTTAGACTATCATCCATCCTTACTATGGCATTTGCCACTTGATTGACGCACAGGTAAGCCAGTCTCAGTTGTATTGTGCCATACGGGTTCATGCAGTTATGAGGGGGCCTCACCTCCTCATCTGAAGCGCAAATGCGGCGCACTATTATGCGCTTATGCGGCGCAATTAAGAGTAAGCGCGCCACAGTTTTATCCGCCGTTTAGTCCACTAGCCCCAGAGGGTGCTACATAACACACTTTCAGGAAAAGTCACAGACTGTGGAGACTAGAATATTTTATTGAAAAAAAGTTGCATCCAATCAAGAAACAGCTGTGGGTAAAATGTACCCGTTGGCGGTTCTAGTGTTAAAATGTCATCATTCTGCCTCACTAGTTTTACAGCATCCGCTAGTCAGTCTTAAGGATCAGAAGCCTCTAGAAATCTTCAACTAAGAGAAATAACATCCTAAACTTGTGGGATTAAACTGAAAACTTGACTTTGTGCTTCTTCAATGAAAAAGTCCCAACAGCGCTTTGTTGTGTTACTTATATGCTGTTGCTGCTGCAGGCCGCTCCATGGACAAACCTCAGCAAACACAAACTGCATATATGCCGCCGTGGCACACTCCGCTCTTAATATTATATCTGCACAAATAAACCCTCATATAAATCATTAAGTACTGCAAACAAAGCGTTTTTTTCTTAAAGCAGCCACACACCGTTGCATTAATAGACGGGCACAAGCATGCAAAGTGTTGTCACATGACCATGGCCTCAATACAACCACCCCACCCTTCCTCTTCGCTCACACGCTAACTTCCCCCGAACTGCAGCGGTTTGATACGGCGAGCGGGTGTCATTAATATTTCATGCTGGGTGGGGAGACAGACGCAGGGTGCTGTAGGGCACTCTGTGTGATTGTGACTGCTCCTAGAAATTTAGAAAATGGATTTCAGGGTGGGGGGAGAAGATGGCTCATGTTTTATTTTCTCTAGTGGAGCCCACCGATCTGGTTTATTCATGAGTTTCAGGTGTGTATTTCAGAAATATGTAAGGTGGTGTGTGTGTCGTGTCGTGTGTGTCTTGTGTGGTGTCTGCGCTGAAATACGTTTGGGTCTTTATTCTAGAATATGCCTACACATCTGGATTTCTTGGCTTCTGGTGCTTACATTTAGAAATAAAATAGTTTTTATCTGTGAGTCCACCAACTTGATGGACATCCTAAATCACAAGGGTACTAGCTTTTATACAATAAAACAATAGCAGTCAAATAAAAAACTACTGCAAATGAAATCAAAGTGGCAATACAAGTACAAGTAGCACGGTATTTCATTGTTTCTAACTTATATAGCTAATAGTATTATAATACACTAAAACTGTCTTTCTTCCAACGCTGGATTTTTGGAGTTACTGTTTTCTTACTTCTGCACTACATATACAGTTTTATTTTGGCCCTTCAAAGGAAACAGAAAGTCATGTAGGAAGTTGTGCAAGTAAAGAAAGACAGAAGGATGGAAGAGGAAAGTGAAATAATAAGCTCGGGAGAGCGAAAGTTAAAAGGCAAGAAGGAAGTCATGTTGCCAGAAGAATAAAGTAAGTTACAAGCTACTACTCTCTATTTGCACTAAATAGATTTTGCAGGTGATCCAATTTGCTCTGCAGCCTGAAAGGGACAGCTGGCGTCTTCTGTCTAGTGTCGCAGAGTTTTTTCCTCCCCTCACAATGCTTGCTGTGTTTCTAATTAGCAGTGTCATTCTTTAGCGGCGCTGCGGCTCTTGACCAGCGGCCGTTTGATTGGCAGCTCTGATGAGGAGGATTAGATGAGATGCAGCTCCTTAGTTTATGATTTCTGCAGTGATTCAAAGCTCTGCGGGCCTGCCTTATTACTTTAAAGTCCCACTGGGAGGGCTAACTGAGGGCTAACTGAGGCTACTTCTCTTGAATGTGATGGAAGTACTTCCATGTTTCTTATGTGTAACTAATTGATCAATAGTCAAGAGTAAAACATTAAACAACATCTTATTTAGCTTCTGCTATAGATCCCAAGCGAATAGATTGGTGCCGGAATGAGTCTTAAAACACAGAAATTAGTGAGCATTTACAACGTCCACTTACCTTGTCTCTAAGTTAGCATGTTTTTTGATTAAACGCCTGAAATAAGGTCTGTGGATAAAACAACCTTAAGAGATTTTCCCATGTTGCTCGACGACATAAAGGACGTCAGTAAACACCCCCCATTGTCCAAAGTCATAAAAACAGGGGACGCTAACAAGTGGCTAAATAAATTGGACAGGAGTCGAAACTGATGTAACGGGTACTGTAGAAGTACGCTACAGTACGTTTTGAATACTATCTCATCAGGAGGAGACATCTCTGGAGCCAAGCACCCTGCACATAGGGAAGTCATGGAAGTGGATTCATTTTCTAAGCTAAAGTTAAATACCGGGGACAATGGAAGACAACCGAAGTTAGTTGGGCAGAGGCTGTGTCCCTTCTGTGTCTCAGCAAATGGCTCGGTCCGTTCTCTAGCCCTAATTTCCAATGCACCTTCAGTGCTGCATTACTATTCATCCCTTATCTGACTGTGGTTGGTTCAGGTGAGAAGCCGACCCTAGCTCTGAAATACCAGACAGTCTGACCTGTATTGATAAATCCATGACGCTGTCCGTGGTGCTGAAGTACCAGAAGGTCTTTTGATTGTGACTTTCTTTGAGTCTCCTGTCAATTTCTTGGGAGTAGTTTTGAAGTGCAAAGAGTTATAGATTTAAGATGTTTTATAGAAGAATTGTCTGTAGTGGAGATATAAATATTACCACTAGTACTAGATGAAACAGCAGCAGAAGTAGTATTGATAGTATTGGCAGTAGTTTCAATATTAGTATTCAAAGCAGTATGAGCAGTAAATTAGTAGCAGTAGTATCAACAATATAATATATAAATAATATTATTACCATTATTGTCTGCATAAGAAGTAATTATCAAACAGCAATATTAATAATAATATTAATGCATTTTATTTATTTATTTATTGAAGCTCAAAGACACGTTACAGAGTAACAATTCATAAAAATGTAACTTTTAGAGCATGTTGTCAAAGTTGCAAGAAGTACCGCTGTAAGTATTATGTAGATGATCATTTAAATATATACAGCGCTGTTTTTGTTTTCCTTTTTGCATAGCAGGGAGTGTTGAAATTAACTTAATTTATGATCTTGTACATTTTGCGATGCAGACTATATACGAGTGAATCTACTGCAGAATAATATGCAGTTTAGTGTAAAATGACTTTAATGGTTGATGTGTGATCTCTGTGTCTCGCAGAGGAAGTCAAGCTGCTGTTAGTTGGATTTAATCGAGTCTGTGTGATGCAGAAAAGGCCGCGCTCAGCAGGAGTCATCATCACTGCACTGCGAAACATAATGGCCCTGTTTCCTTTCTTTCTTTTGGGGTAACTCTTCTGTTGCTCTCATCTAATTTTCTGTATCTAATTTCTTTATTTTTCTGCCTCATTTCAAGCCACATTTATTCATTATGCAGTTTTGTCACAGGGAGCTTTACGGAGCAACAAAAGAGATCAATACTGATGAAAAGTGGAGAGGAAAAACAAATGCAATATATTTTCTTGCAATATTTCCACTTCTCGCTCTACTCACCTAGAAGTAGGTAATTATGAATACACTTTGAAACTAATAAGTACAGGCTTACTTTTTCCTTCATAATCTCTTTCATCTATTTCACAAGATTGAATGTAAAACTTCCTTCCTTCACATATTCACTTTTTCATCTGTGCTCTGTTGCTTTTCCAAATCAGATAGTGTATAAACATGGCAACACAGAACAGTACCGAGGTACATTTGAATAAATACAACTTTTCTCAGTGTATGTGGACTAATCAGGAATGACGGCTTTGCGCTCAAAACTGGCCCAGAATTAATAATGAATGAAAAAGATCAAATAGATAACGTTTTAATTTCCTAAGTCTAGAAGGAGTGAGACGTAGCTAGAGAAGTTCTGTCTTCAAAAGTAATTTCAATTTCCTTTTTTCTTCCTTTTTTGAGTTTAATTGTTTTACCTGTTATAGAATTTTTTTTAAATAATATAATACATATATACTGTTGTAGTAATTCTTTATATACACATACATTCTAAAATAAAATATAATACACAGAAGTAAAACACAATTAAATCAAATTAATGCACAGGTTTCTGGCTTTAATCCTATACATTATCATTCAACTGAGCATTAAGTTATTCATTATAATATTACTATGTTTGTGTCATAAGATGTATAGAAAGGTTAAGAAAATGTTAACATTTCTATAAAAAAAAATTGATTGTGTAGAATTTATTTAAAAAGGAAAGCAAGATTATATCTAAAAAAATCACAATCAAGAGATCAAACATTAAACAAAGGTTTTTGAAGAAAGCAAGTTAGAGAGTGAATTAGATTTAAAAGTTGGCAGTATTAAACAGTTACACAGTCTATTTCAAGTGAATTTAAGGAATTCATTGTAATGATGGAACTGACTTAGCAGCTAAAGTGAGCCCTAATTCTTAAGTGAATGTACTGTTTTAATTAGTATAAATTAAATGGTACTTTTTAAATGAAGTTTCAGGGTAGAAATGTACCTAATAAAGATTTATGGGTAAACATTGACTTCTCTTTCTCCAGGTTTTGCAGCTCAACTCGGACATCCCGCAGTACAAGCAGGAAGCCCCCAAGACACCCCCCCACATCATCCTCCACTACTGCACCTTCAAGACCACCTGGGACTGGGTCATCCTCATCCTCACCTTCTACACGGCCATCATGGTGCCCTACAACGTGTCCTTCAAGACCAAGCAGAACAACATCGTGTGGCTGGTGCTGGATAGCGTGGTGGACGTCATCTTCCTGGTGGACATCGTCCTCAACTTCCACACCACCTTCGTGGGGCCGGGCGGCGAGGTCATCTCCGACCCCAAGCTCATCCGCATGAACTACCTGAAGACCTGGTTCGTCATCGACCTGCTGTCCTGCCTGCCGTACGACATCATCAACGCCTTCGAGAACGTGGATGAGGTATGGTTGGGGTTTATTAAATCTGCTTCATGGGCTCTGATTGGCTGGAAGAAAGGTTGGCATGGGAAGGCAAGTTTATTGATATGGCACATTTCAAAGTGCTTTATAAAACAAGCATTAAGTTAAAGTGCAATAGAGACGCATTAAAGAACAACATGTAGGTACATTTAAAAGCAGTAACTAAAAAGCCTAAAGAATAGAGATGGAAACTAGCTCAAATGTTAGCTGCCTTTAGTGATGGAGACGCGAGGTTATGCAACAGCGATGCCGCTCCTTTCTAGCGTTAACTTTTGACTTCTGGTGATTGCATTTACACTTCAAAATAATAAAAGTGGTGATTTGATATTTTCCTTCTGACTAAAACATGCCAGTATCATTATAAGTGTGTTTGCAACAGAGCTGATTTCTTGGCAATATTCCAAAAATATTTGTTGTTGAGGAAACCCTTGTGATGCTTACTGAAGTTGGTCTACAAAATGTATGCACCACTCTATTACCTTCACTTATAACATATACCTCAGAACAATGTAATTTCTGTTACAGTATGCACCAGAGCCATCAGTATACATACAGTACATTACTAGTTGCCAGTGGTAGTCCTAACTAAATACATTTAGAATTGCTACTTAAAAACTCCACTTTCGTCGGCTGTAGTTTTCTAAAGAAAGGAAATCCGCCCGAAAGATGTTAAAACTGGGAGAACAAGAAGGCTTAGACATGTACATACCAAATTCAAATGCAATGGCTCACGATCAGATGTGTTTATATCGTATTGCCAAGTATAAATATGCTCTCTGAGACAGGAATACATTTATCTTCTCACCGTGTGTTTGGAAGAAAAAGTGAGCAGGTTTTAGATTGAGTTTGTTGACTGAAAGGACAGACAGAGGAGGAAAGATTTTGGATATGATTTGTCAAAATCTGTCGACTCTGGGGGGGGGGGGGAATCCCTGAACTTTCACCTTGGGTCCCCAGCAGGATGAATATTGTTGTTTTTTTTAGTAAAATGCCACATTTGATGGCAACAATCAAGCACTGTAGAATTAGCAACCTGTAGCATGCTATCACACTTACATGGTCAGCATAGAAGAGCTTTCTTTCTAAACATCAGCTATTTTCATTATGAGCATCATAAAGCTGCAAGTGTGGCTGTTTATCGTGTGTGAGGCAAACAGCAGGTTCCAGTTTGAGTTAATAAGCTCATTAAGTTGACTGATTACTAATGGATGGCGCTCTGTTTTTGTTCTGGCCGAGATAATGGATGGCAGTTTGCCTGTGAAAATGGGAAAGTAATTGGAAAATGTCTAACTTTCCACAAGTCTTCTTCAGCAGGCTGTGGTGTGATAGCTTGAAATTCATTATTGAAACACTTTAAAAGTCAATATACTCATGCCAAAGACATGCTGATGTGTTTAAATCTGCTAGCATGTATAATTAAATTAGGATCAAGTGTGATTTGGTTACGATTTTCCATTGTGGCTAAAGAGAGTTTCATCCGGCGTTGAAGATGATTTCCTGGTCTTGGTTTGAATTTATTGATACTTATTTTTCCTGACCGGCTTTCACAGAAACATTGATCTCGTGCCATTTTAATCAGTTAAATTACATTATAGGAATGAACGTTTTAGATCCTTAACCTGTTATTTTTGTTGATGTTCTTTGAGGGATTGCTCCCGCTATTTAACTCCCATTTACACCCATCACATATCGAGGAGTTGTATCAATATGGCCTGGAGTCCATTAGAGGGGATGTTCCACTTCATTTCCCTCTGAATTAATTAGACCACAGCTTGTGTGGAATCTACTGAATGCAAAATGAAAAATAACAAATGTTGTACACATGCATTTCTCACTTTTTTTTATGGTTGAACATTAAATGTATTCACAAGCGGGTGTGTATTTGTTGTGAACACATGCTGTGGGTGTGTGTTTGTGTGTCTGCCAAGTGGGGGCTTAATTACATGAGTTTTTAAACGCCAGTACTACTAATAATAATATTAATACCAGTGTTTAAGCTGCCAGCATCTCAATTTAAGAGCATCTATTATTTTAGTATGCTAAAAACATTACTTCACACCTCCTTCAGCAATTTATATTTGTACTGAATAACATTAGACCTAAAACTTTTAATAGTTCTCAGCAGCTCTTAAACCACCTTCTCTTTTCACAACAGGATATGTATGTGGGTGAAGTAACCCCTATAAGCATTTTACATGAAAATACATTCTGTATTACTCAAGTTAATGCATCAAACAGACGACAACTGGCATACTCTTGCCGGTTCAAACTAAAATTAGCAATGTTTTGGGCTTTGGCTGTCTTTTGGACAAAATAATAAATGTAAAGACTTCTCATTGGGCTCTGGGGGAAATGTTCTGTAATGGACATGTATCACTATAAAATGTCATAAACTCAACAATTAATCGTCAAAGTAACCTATAGCCATGTCAAAGTTACACTTTCAAACATCTCCGTTTCATTCTCCTTGTGGCACTTTTGGTGAGGACATGCATGTTGTTCTGTGTTCATTCCCATGGGATACTGATATAGGGGCCCTATCATGCTTTTGGGGGTTTTCTCTATACTGTAGTTTGTTGTAAAGGTTTTTGTGCATGTGAATGGTCTGCAAAGGCTAACATCCCTGTGTTTCCTCCAGAGAGGGTTTTTCTCCGACACACAGCCCCCCCCCCCCTGCCTGAGACGCCTCAGTTGGACTCCTTTGTTTACTTAAGGAAAAAAGGGACATCACTATGTAACTCTCATGCTTCTATTGGCTAGCAATACATTGTACGTGATAGGCTGAAGGGCGGGACATTTATAAGCGGTTGACCAATCACTACGGAGCTTGTCAGCTAACCAATCAGAGCAGACTGGGCTCTGGTTTCAGACAGGGGTGAAAAGAGGTGCTGCAGCACAGGCAGTATGAGCACTTGTGTCTCAGTGTGTGTCTGTGTGCTCTCCTGCACACAGACACACACTGAGTGCTGTATCGAGTTGTGGATCCTCCAGTACGTGTCTTTAACTGCGTCTCTGCTCAGGTGTCTCTCAGCCTTGAAACTCTCCGATGGCTGATGGATCTGATGAGCTACCGCTGTGCGGAGATTTTCTCTCGCTGTCTTTTTAAACTGCTGACTGTCACAAGGGGTAGAGACAGACTGGAAGGAAATCAATGGCACGTACATTTCCAGCCACTAAAGAACAGAGCACAGTCAGAGTCACTGTTCCTCTCTTTGCTAAATTGCCATTTGTGTTGCTGCTTTCTCGTATTAGCAGGCTGGAGGAATAGATGGATGCTGACTGAGCGCAGTGTGGGCGGCTTAAGATGTAGAGTGAGAGAAAATGGCAGAGATAGGCTCGTTGCAGACTGAATTCCCCATGTTGCTTCCTTGATAGCTGAAGCAGGCAGGAAGTATTTTTAGGTGTGTCTTTTTTCAAGACGCTGTCAAGCCATGCCAAGCAGGTGCTGCCAACTCACGTATATACTGTGCACACACACACATGCACACAAACAGGACTTTTGAGGACATAACAATTCATTACCAAGGCTATAACTATCTCCTTTCTATTAGAGAAGTTTCCTCATCTCTCCAACTTTGTGGAAACAATCTGCATACAGTAGGTGAACACCTCTTATTGCATATTTGTAACCATGGATGTTGTTTAAGGTCATCATTACTATCGTTGACAGTACTTCTTATTAGTATAGCCTTGATTTGTTGATTATTGTTTTACAGATTAAGTTTAAAGTCTATGAAGTGTCATAAGTCTTCACCCTCAAATTATTTTTTGCCAAACAAACTAAAAGTTTAAAAAGTTTCTTCATCAAATTCTCAAAATGAAGCAATTCTTTAACATTAGTGCTTTTATATGTGGCTTAAACAATGACAAATAATTTGCGTTTTTGTCAAAAGTTAAATGAGTATAATATGTCCTCTTCGAACAAAATGTGGGCAGGGTTTTCACGGGTTTAATCACATCATCTCAGTAGGTGTGTATTTCATCGGTTGTATTAGACTCTAGAGGTATTGTGATATTGCAACTTTTTGGGGCTGTTCCAACTCAAAGAGGAGAGGGTTCATGTTGGGCGTTTATGTAATGCGTTTGGCTCTGGAGCATGTGGGTAGAATGTTATTATTACCAATACAAAAGACAGAAACAGAGCTTTCTTTTAAGGTGTTAGAATTGAATACAGCAACACCTACACACAGACACTTACAGGTCAGCCGTTACATCAACCGAAGTAGTCGAGCTCTGGCTGCAAAAACACGATGTAAGATCTGCAAGTGGAGTTGTGCTGGTTCTCCGTCACGTTGCAGCAGCGGAGAAGGGTGTGAAAAGAGTGCCCCCACAGCTCCTGAAGCCACCTGCTGACGCAGAGGGTGCCGGCAGGCGAAGAAAGGTCTAATCCAGGCTGACCTTTCTGCGTGGCGTGCAGGCTGAGAGAGCCGGGAGGAAGCTGTGCACCGTGCAGTCAGGGGGCGAGGGGCATTTACCCTGCATGTAAACACGCAGAGAGGGAGGGGAAGACGAAGGAGAAGAAGAATGTATAAGCCATCTTGAATGCTTACATTAGAAGGGTGTGAAAATCAAGGGAATATTTAGTGGAAGGAAAGAAGACAAAGTTGCAGAGGTATGAAAAGAACGATAGACTTCTGGACTTTCTTATATGCCTAAAAGTGTTTGTTTTCATGAGAAATCAATATCGATATTCTCAAAATGCCCCCAACCGCAGAGCATTATTATATAAGTCATGTTAAATGAGAATGATACTTTTCCAGACTTCTAGCAGCTCTCAGATCCTCGTGCAGTGTGTTACCCTTGGCTCAGAGCATAATGCTTAAAAGGCTGACTCACCAAATGTTATTTAGTCCTGCACCTTTGAAGACGGAGAGATGAACTGACACACAAATGCTGCGTTCATGTCATGTTGCTCGCTGAGTGGCAAAAGCCATTTACTCAGCCTGCTGCTTGCTGTTAGAAGTGGGAGATGTGAGTTACTG